GGGCGTCATCCATAGCTCAACATGTCACAGTATGTTTTTTCATTAGCTAAACATAAATTCTATCAGCAATAATTTGTCTTTTATTCACCTTCAAAAAAATGAAGTTTCTGTGGCCCACCCTGTATTTTCCTTTACCTGTCAACCCACACCAGTGAGGCATGTATGTCATGTTTATTACAGAATTGAGTGAATGTTGGTGGTAAATTTTCATGCCAACTATGTCAGTAGTTATTAATTGGTGGTAGCATGTTTTCCAAAGTACACTGTTGATGCATTTGGGTAGAATATTAACAGTTTTCTTGACACGCACAAATATTTTTCAGCATATATTTACGACTTCTGTTCCTCACTGTGTAATGTTCCAAGTGAAAATAGTGAATAGGTTTCCCATTATTAATTGCTTTGGAATGAGTATAATTAGAGATAACTGGGAAAAAATAAGTAACTTCAAGGTCAGCAGAAACACATTTCTCTTTATGTTTGGGGCTTTCAGAGTTTTGGAAATTAATTTTAAACTATTTCAGAAACAGTTGGAAAATATTAACTTGTGAGTCTGTGCTGCAGAAATGGTCGATCCCATGAGTGAGAATATTAAAATGAGATTCAATCAGTCACTTACCTCAGTGTCAAGTGTTTCCTGTCCAGAATATTTGTAATGAATCAATGCAATGAAATTAGCATGTGTAATTGATGTAACTGTTCACTGGGCATTTTATCCAGCTAAAACTGTTAATATTCCTTTCAAAGAGAATTCACGGTGTCTTTAAAAATAATTATCAATTGTAATAACATGGACATATTCAGGCCCCCCTTTCAGAGAGTTCAGTCCCCTCTGAAATAATACATACTTAAAAAATTCATACAACTTCCAGAAAATTACTCCATTCTTTCAGTGTTGTTTGAGACAGCTTAAGTACTGCATGATCTTGGTTTCTTGATGCATTTGATTATGCATTAAACAATATTGCCACAATGCAGAATAATTATTACTTTTAATTAGTTTTAAAAAATAACATATACTACTTACAGGTTTGTTTGGCATGGGGAAACTGAGATGAGACAAAATTAAGACAGTGGTTTCTAACATACAGTTCAGAATCTTCAATCTTCTCATGTCCCATATGAAATCATAAAGTGAGAATACAGAAAACTGTAACTCTAGGTTTTGTCTTATATGAATGTAAAACTTGGCTTCTCAGTCTATGAGGAATATTTCAATTTAAAAAGTAAGAATCAGTAAATGTTGAAGGAATACAATTACTTTAAACTTTTATAGATACCTGTATGTCTAAATCTCTTTTATATACATAATAAATACGTATTCATTTCAGGATGCACCGCATGAGATCAAATCGTCTAGCTCCTTGTAAGTATAACAGATTACAGATAATTTAATTTATGCAGTAGACTTCTGACTATCTGAGGTGAATGAAAATGAATATCCCCAAATAATCGGCAAAGGGAATATGTGATTAACTTGCAAACTAGGGTTTATAAAAACCACATACATTTAAAATTGTATTTTAATCGAATGTTGTCAGTAGAAACATAAGTGTTGTTTATGAGGAGCTGCTGTGCGATTTCTGCATATAAAAAGAAGAAAAAACAAACAAAGAAGAAAGATCTTGAGTTTACAAGTACATATTCAAACCAAAATAAAATTTCCTTCATTCTGTACTTGCTCCTTTTCATAAGCAATTCCACATTCAGTTCATCTTTTGACATTGGACATACCAGTCTTTATTCCAATGAAAGCCTCCAAATAATAGCCCCCCAGTACATATGTACTGGTTTCATATGGGCCATACAGTTTTTACTAGTGGTATTGAATCTTTGCGCCATATTATCACACAGTTAGCAGTCAGTCAGCTTAGTTGTAAATTCTAGTGTCATTCAATAATTGCATTTTTCATTTCCCTTATCGTTTTTCAGAATTTCCTTATTAAATTTATCACAGCTCAATATTTCTCTTCATTGTTTGCCTACAAATTATAATTGAGACTGTGTGTCTTTCTCGTTTTTAAAGCGACAGGAGCGTGAAGCTGACTTCTTACAAAAATCTAATATAGTGCTTAACAACGTCCAGAGCTTTACTTCCATTCCCACTATATGTCTTCGTGGTATGGTGCTCATTCACCAGATCAGCTTTTCTAATCTTACTTTGCTTCTTCAGCTTATTTATTTCATTATCTTTGATTATTCTTCTGAGAGAGAGAAAACACTCTTCTCACTTTTCTACAAGGCATATTACTTGCATAAAACCGACTCTTCACTCAAAAGCCCTGAACAGTATAATAATCATTCATTCACTCCACTGTGATATTTCTGGTGCCAAAACGTCACCAGTGAGGTATATATTGGAACATGGAATGTTCAAATATGATACCTATGTTAAAAGTGGTTCTGCAAGAAAAAGGTGAAGATATGGGCATAAATTTCAGGATGCCAAAGCTGCACACAGAAAAGCAATCAACAGAATCAAAATAAATTAAGGCAAAGAATGCTGTTACTGGGTGGAAAACAACTGAAGAAAAGAAGAGGCTCAAATCCAGATACCAAATGCCTACTGAAGAAAAATTGCATGAAAATGGGGCTATGCTTGAATATTCTCCTCAAATATGCTGAAGACATCCTACATAGAAGACAGATTTCAAATTTAAACTTTACTACAAAGTACTTTATGCTTGAATGTAACCATTGTATGGAGGTACCAGGAATGTGTAAGCATAGCAGACAGAATTTTCAGCATCCCTTGTAACCTGAATAAATTGTGACGTGTTTAGGCTGCGGGTTTGTCGGTTCTGCCACCAAACCGAATTTCCACTGGCTGATTTTATGGGAGGAGCTTGCGACACTTCCACTTAGGCAGATCAATAATTTACAGGAATAATGCAAGTTCCGTGGAACAAGTTTCCTTCTAGAAATTTTTGTGGAGACTATGCAGGGACTTAAAGTTATTATTTACTTTTCATTAATGTTAGAAATTATGACAGGAATTATATCTGAATAAGAAAGAAATCTGACAGATACATAATTTTTAATTGGGGTATTTTTTTAACAATCAGTTGTGCCTGTTCTTAATTAGTTAAGCACTATGCCATGAAGACACATGGGGGAGTGGAGGTATAGCTCCACCATTCGTGACCTTGGCACTAGATCGATGTAAGTGGTGAGCTTCACACCCCTGCCACTTTACCACCAGTATCCTTTGGATGGGAGACAAAATGAAAATGAATTAATATGTGTATGTGTGTGTGTTAGTGATATCTAATTTGATTTATAAGTCAATAATTTCCAGTTGGAATTTCAATAGTAAAACTATTTAATTGATATTTAAAAAATGTATGTTCAGGATGGACGATATGGTCATGCTGCATCCACATAGTGTTCCAGAATATGATGTCTCAGAACAACAGATCTTGGACAGCATTGAAAAAGAATTTGTGTCCTGACAGGGAACATAAAATTCTACTAGTTCAGACATCACCAAGAATATGGAATCAGGAAAAGGTATATACATCTAACTGATCCTTCACAATAGCATTTAAACTGACATTCATATTGTTATCTGCAGAACAAAGTATGCAAAATGAATTTATGGCTAATAAGCTGCAATGTTACACATGACTTCTAAATTATAAACTTGCCTTTCTGTAAACTTTACTCTGACTGATTCCTCATATTCCATTTTGAGGAAAATGTTTTTAATTCAGAACTATGGATACTAATATGAAGGGTACCCATCCTTGTATATGTTATAAAAATATTTCTTCCCAGGAGGTGAAAATTAATCATTCTGCTCTTCTAGAGAGCAGAGAGTTTTGGGAAGACTTAATGGCATACTGATCCTTTAAGAGACTTTGTACACAGACCATATCTTCACATAGATCAAAAGCAATAATCATATATATACTTTCCTCTCACATTAAACCCCAGCTGGATACATTATGCAGTTTAAGAAACTATACCATACAGAAATAATAATAAATAACAAGAAGACTGCACTATATGCCAATCTTCAGGACAGTATTCATCACCGCATGTATTTCGCACTGACAACCCAGTGTCACCTCATAATCACATCACTTAAAATTGATGTTTGCATTTCAGCTGAAGATATCCTATTAATACAATTCCTATATATTAAAGATCTGGAGATGAGTGGAAGAATTCTGTAATACTAGGTTGGCATAGCACAATATGGAAACAAACTCTACTGTCAAAATGTAAACAAGAAGTTCTGGGAAGAACTAACAATCTGCTTTAATTTGACACAATAGATTGCATAGAGAATGACACCTCAGAAAATTCATTGCTGCAAGGATGTCTTTAATGGGTTACCTAGCAATGATAGGATACACAGGCAGGACCACAGACTATCATTTGATAATACGTGGACTGCATAGAAAATGATGCATCCAACAATTCTTCTACTGCTGTGTGAATTTAATGCCATGGGATGTGTTTACTGAGCCATTGCTTGGCATCGTTATGAGGGATATATTTTACCCAGCCATTGTCTAGCAATGATATAANCGATACAGCAATTTAAACACAATGCTTAAAGTTGATTAAGCGCCCGAAGAGGAACGGACATTTAAACCCAGAGTGATGATATAAGGGACAGATATACAGATACACAGACTAATGGGAGGAATCTATGAAGCATGCCGTTAAGATGGACTCAGTTGCCATAATATACTTATCAAGTTTCATAAAGACTGGTTTAGATATTTAAAAGTTGATGGTGGTGGGTGGGGTGGAACAAAGACATATAGACAGGATGGAGATTGCATAACCTTACTCTAGGAAAGTAAGCTAAAAAGATGGTTTTATTCCAACATCTTTTCTGTCTTGCCACTAAATGAATCTCACTTCCACCTGTGAGCCGACTGTCTAGAAAATGTGGGACCCTCAATGTCACACAACCCCATGGGCCTCCATGGCCTGTTACAGGGATAACTTTATTTTTTTTACTGTGCCACTAAATTGTAAATCATAGGCTCTCAAATATACTGACATAATATTTGTCTAAGCCACAGTCTAAGAATGAATGGTACACAAAGGTCCACCAGATTTCTATATAGGCCTGCATAACACAGACAAAATTCTTTCTTCAGCTGTGTACCTCATACATCCCCACTGGGATCATCAACAACACCCTGAAACTGATACTGAACATGTAATCCCTGGCTTGGAAAATGGAAGCAGTCCGATGGAAGGAATTTGGCTTTTGCTGGGCGACATGCAACGAGGACTTCGTTGGGATCTTTTATGGGTGCCACTTGTTCCATTGATGTTGCCAGTGAAAATTCCTGCAATGTAGGTACAATTCGTATAACAGTTTCAATATGATGATTAAACATCGATGTAAAAACTGAATTCATAATGGACAGATGCTAAATATTATATTACAAATATGACTGAAATATTAACATCAAGCATGTAAATATGTAGGCTAATGAAGATTATATTTAGATGAGTCTACACCAATTAAAAAATTATTTTTAGTCATGTTAGTTTTAACATTTCTCTTTGACATAATTATTGATGCATTAGTAATAATTTGTGTTCAAACATACGTGTCGACAAAAAAAATACAATAAATAAGTCACAAGCTGCAATGGTAAATACAGATGTCAGTTTTAATATAAAGAACAAAACAGAGTGCTTGTATGTATGGTATATTTTATTATGTTTTCTCACTGAAACTGTATCTCCACAAATTAACTCTAAGCACAGCTGCCAATTGATATATACTCAATATGGGTTTATGTCATCTGTGCAAGATACTAAAATGTTTCTGTTTTTTCTGTTACAGTATATGAGTAAGTAAATAAATATATTACTTTGTTTCCTATTTAAAATATACTATACTCAACTCTCGATTATCTGGGATAATGGTGGGGATGGAAATCACGATTAATCAAGAACCCGGTTAAGACAAATTTTATTAAAAGTAGTATTGTAATACTGTACCTTCATAATACTATAGGCCTACCTGTATTTAAATTTATTCAACCTCATTTTTATGTCATCTCATGGCCTATTTAATGCCTTTTTTACATTACACTGAAGTATGAATTAGTTATTTCAATTACAGTGTTCAACAACATCCAACACTTTTTATGAATATTCACACTTAACACTTTGAACACTTAAGACAACACGCTTCCTTTTACACCCTGACATTTTGCTAATGCGCTTGAAGATCGATACAAAGAGACTAACTGGGGCGGTGTTTCTGTCCTTGAAACTTTCCACAAATCCTTGCATTCTTTCACCCCTACCCTAGAACACTGTGTTAGCATAATGGGACCAAAAAATGCAGAGCTCTGTTCACACTAGTGCAAAAATAGTGTTACAACTCACTATGTGAAACAAAAGTGAATGAAAATTAAACAAATAAGCATCAAAAGAGCCCCGGTAGCCCTGGTTAAGCCACAAATCGGTTTATCTGCCCTCGGATAATCGAGAGCTGAGTGTATTTCTGTTACCAAGGAGAGGGCGACTGGTCTTCTGCTCTTAGATGGGCCTACAAACAAGTGGAGTCATCAATAATCTCACTTTAAAAATATCATTTGGTTTAGTCAACCTTAAGTGTTTTGAGTATATCTATAGATGGTCTAATTTTGAAATGGATGAACGTGACTGGCTCTTTTTGTATCCGAAAACAACAATGGTCCAAAGTTAAGTTTATTTACGGAACGTTTTTAGTTATACATTCTCTACTATACCACTAGACTTGTAACATCCACTGTGCTTCATTATTTAACACTAAATTCCAAAAAATAATATCTCAGTACATACTGAGTTCTCACATAAGTTGTTCAAGGCTGTGTTCTTCAACATCCAAATGCATTTCCCTACAAATTTTATGGCACCTGGTGAATCTATTTTCCTATGCAAAATGGATACATTTCACGTCTATGGCTTATATAGCTTTGAGAATATTCAAACTCTTTTCTTATTTTACTCAGTGACAAAAGGACAAAAATGTAAAACTCAGAACTCCGAATGGATAACAACAGCTGGGGTAACACTGTCCATTTCACTGTGGCTTCTAACAGGTGTCATTATGCTAGTTCTCGATAATGATGACAGATAAGTACGGATCATTGATAAAACATGTTCGGCAAGGTGAAAAGACTATGATGGCTGACCAACACATGTACAACAGAACTCCCATCCCAGCAAGAACATTCAAGGCAGCCACGATCAACAAACCAAACAAAACCTAAAGCACATGCAACCCAAGGACACCTAAATAAAACTGATGGTAATCCACATACCCAAAAATAACCAAATGCAATGTGGAATGTAGATGTTTTAAGAGACGACCACGTAAAACTATAACAGTTATATATATTATTCTCAATGTACAGAATGGCTGGGAAGCCGTCTCGATATATATATATATATACAGTCAACTCTCGATTATCCGGGGGCGGATTAACCGGTTTGCGGCTTAACCAGGGCTACTGAGGCTTTTTTGAGGCTTATATGTTGTTTAATATTCATTCACTTTTGTTTCACATGGTGAGTTGTAACACAATTTTCGTACTAGTGTGAACCGAGCTCTGAATTCTTTGGTCCCGTTATGCTAACACAATGTTCTAGGGTAGGGGTGAAAGAATGCAAGGATTTGTGGAAAGTTTCATGGACAGATACACAGCCCCAGTTAGCCTCTTTGTACAGATCTTCAGGTGCATTAGCAAAATGTCAGGGTGTAAAAGGAAGCGTGTTGTGTTAAGTATTCAACAGAANGCGCCGCGGCTGCAATTTGCCGTGAGTCATACCACCGCAGAACGGATGCAGTCGCGGGCAGGAGTTGCAACACTCCCCGCGACTGCATCCGTTCTGCGGTGGTATGACTCATGGCAAATTGCAGCCGCGGCGCGCACTTGATTGTACGCACTGTATATATATGTTATATACAGGTGTTTCACGACTTTAGGGTATAACTGCAGGAGGTGATTTCCTAGGTCTTTGTGATCAAAAAAGTTCATATAAACATGTATCCGATTTTGGATGGTTATGGAGTTATGACCGTTTTAAACTCAGAACAGAAGGTAGCAATTACTGACAATAAACGGAACAAAATAATAAACCAGCATAATACACGATACATTTAAAGTATGAATGTAAAGTTAACTTCGTGAAATTACTTTTAATTTGAATTTATTGGTGCTTAAAGCTGATTTTCGAAAATGCCACCACCGGCCGCAACACAGGCTGCCGCTTGGTTGTGAACCGCGTGGGTAGCACGTAGCAGCTTCAGCTGGCTGTTTCTTATGTGGTCAGGGGCGTCCAGAATGCGACCAAGCAAAGCATCTCGCGTTGCCACCTTCACATTGTAAACCAATTGTTTCATCCATCCCCACACACAATAATCCAGTGGGCTTAAGTCTAGAGACCTGGCTGGCCAATGGTGGGGATGGCAACGTCCGATCCATCGCCCGGGGAAACGATAGTTCAGGAAATTTTTAACTCTACGTGAAGAATTAGGAGTCCCGTCGTGTTGGAAATACATACGACTTCGTTTATCAAAAGGCATGTCCTCCAAAAGTTGGGGCAATTCCTCCTGTAGAAATCTGAGGTATGCCTCTCCTGTAAGACAACCTTCCAAGATGAAAGGACCTATCAGCTGATCGTCCAGAACTGCACACCATACATTGACACTGAAACATTGTTGAAAGTTGCTTTCAACAGTGGCATGGGAATTCTCATCTCCCCACAAATGAGAATTGTGTGTATTATTGACACCATCGCGATTAAATTGCGCTTCGTCTGTAAACATAATGTAACGATGCAAATGGCGACTGTCACTGAGCCACTTGCAAAAGTTCAGCCTCTCAGCAAAATCTTCAGGTCAGAGATGTTGCACTTGCTGCACGTGGTATGGATACATGCCCTCTGCATGCAGTGTTCTCCACACTCTCGTGTGGGGAACACAAAGACATCTCGCAATTTTTCGGGTACTCGTATGTGGACTGCGGTGTACCACGCGAACAATGCCTTCTTCATCGACACCTTCGTTAACACCACGCTCGGCTGCAATACGAACGCCAGAAGTCTACTGGTATCTCGCAATGCCTGGTAAACTCCAGTAAACACTCTCCGGTTTGGTATTCTACGATTCGGAAACCGTTGCTGATATTCAGCTACAGCAAGAACTGCATTATCATCACAAAATCTGTACACATAAATCATATCTGCATACTCCTCAAATGAAAACGTAAATGGCATCGTGAATGTAACAGACGCACTGAGATGAGAACTCTTCTGAACACCAGTAGCCGCCACACTAGCCGTGGCCAGACATACCAACCCACCACGCCTTAGGTACCTCTCAAGTGTTGAGATAATGAGAACACTGTCTGTAGCTGGCTAAAAATAGAGACCCGCCAGATGATAGACGCGGTTCACATGAGGACGTGTACGGGAATGAAGAAACGATCTAACTCCGTAACCATCCAAAATCGGACACATGTTTATATGAACTTTTTTGATCACAAAGACCTAGGAAATCACCACCTGCAGTTATGCCCTAAAGTTTGTGGGCCCTGAAAAGGGCCGTTTGTTCTGCTGTGCTTGCGCTAGTAGTAGCGTGGGCCTTCCTTTATGGTCGCTGAGTGGTTATGTGCGGGAAGGATAGCGGCGAGCCTAGTCGGATAGTCTGGGCCTTCTTTATGGCCATTCGGCAGTTATGAGTCGGCGTGAGAGTGGAGTCTAGCTGGCCTGGCACTGCAGTGCATGCGCTGGTGTAGTCTGTTGTCTCAGTGTTGTTTGCTGGAGAGGTGCTGCTTTGTGATGTCAGTGTAGCTATGTTAGCTGTCTTCAGCGGTGGTGTAGTCTGTTGTCTCAGTGTTGTTTGCTGGAGAGGTGCTGCTTTGTGATGTCAGTGTAGCTATGTTAGCTGTCTTCAGCGGAATGAAGACGATTGAAGAACTGATGATAGCGAAGTCAAAGTCAAAGTCAAAGTCAAAGTTGTTACAACTGACGGTCAGTCAGTCTGTCTGTCTTGGTGTCGAGCCCCAGCTGGGGCTCATGAGCAGATGTTTTCTTTTTTGTGAAAGTTGCTGTCCTGTCCATTTGGGGTGCCCTCTCTGACGAGAGGTCGGGTCTGTCATTTGATGATAGCAAGTTTTGAGCTCCGCCTTTTATACCATGCTTGCTGGGTGGAGCTAAAGGTTCAGTTGCGATTGTGAGCGGTGATTGGCCAGCTCACATGATGATCTACAGGTGGGCCAGACAGCGAGTGCTGTATAAATATGACAGTGTGACACTGACTTGGCTTGAGCAGAAGTTGAATGTTGTCTGTTATACAGGCGAGGCTGCATGTCAGAATGTGGCAGGTTCCCACAGCAACTCCAATAGGAGGAAAGAAAACTGCATTACACTGAGCAGCAGAATCCTTAACCAAAACTACCTATATGCCTGAAGATGGCCAGTTAGGCTGAAACATGTGTTGGCCAGTAAAGGAATACGAAGGAAGAATAGTGAATGATGTTGCACACAGACAACACAAAAGCTCCTGAGTCACATCTATACAGTGCAACAGGATGCTGAAATACAACATCATAAACCAAAGTACTTTGAGAAACACCAAACCCACACCATAGAGCTCCCCATATTTCCCACATGAACTATGTTGGCAGTGAACATGAACTTTCGAGAAACGTGCATTAGCTATGGCACAGCACTGTAACTAAGAAGATCATATTTCTTTCAATGACTGTTAATTCATCAGTACAGTTTGTATGCTTTAAAATGCCAAACACAGCCTTGAATATATGACTTATCCAAATCTAGGAATAGCGGATCATGAACAACATAATGAATTTAACATGTTCATGAGTTAATGTAGACAATCAGATTAAACTGAATGCCTTTCTACATAAAAATATACCTTCATGTCAACTCTAGCATCGCTACATTATAATTTAAAAAGGGAATTACATGCACAGATGACAAACTCTTATTTGGGCTACTCATCTGAGATATTTTTACTTTTAGCAGCTGCAGAAGCTTCAACCCTTATAGCACTACATATGTTACCAAGGCACATTATTGTTAATCATAAAAGAAACTTGTGACTGAGTAAAATAATAATAAGGGAGTTAGGATAGTAAACATTCCTCAAATGCAAAAATCCGTTAAGAGCACAATGTTCCTAAACTGCAGCATTCATAAATGTGTGTACGACAAGGTTCCTACTGATGCTGAGATACATAATCAGAATGATCATGTTCCGTTGGCATTCAAATACACTTGATTTATGGGTTTTCAGAGGAGTAGACTGTAATACTGCCCACTATCTGATGCTTGCAATACTTAGGGAAACACTGTTAGGAAGCAAAATTCTAGCAGATGCTAGCAAGGAGGATGGTCTGCAAGTATACGCATATCAGTCTAAGGATATCATGTTTCATTACCAGAATTCAGGACAAAATCATAACATAAAAATACATAATAAATCCTTCTAAAATGTGGCAAAGTTAAAATATTTGGAAATGACAAACAAATTAAAAGTGTATTCACAAAGAAATTTAGCTGCTCTGCTAGCCACTTGCTTTCTGTTAGTTTCTTGCTTGGTTTACTCCTCAACTTTGAAGATGGAGGCAGTGCATTCCTCTGAAATGTTGGCGAACTTCAACCAGGCCACTCAGCACCACATTCAAGAAGGCAGTACTCTTCTTAGTCACCACTATGCAAACCTCAAACCTAGCAACTTAAGAGCAATTTAATTTTGGTGAATGCTTCCTATTATTCAATCGTCAGTCTTCCCATTTGCTCTCTAAAGACATTAAGGTTACAAAATTATAATGCATAATGAGGAGCCAGGTAACAGGTATGGGAGAGATGAGAAATGCATACAAAGTTTAGAGTGGGAAACTGAAAGAAAAGAGACCACTTGGAACAACTAGGCTCAGACTGGAAGATAATATCCAAATGGATCCCATGTAAGTAGGGTAGGAAGCTCAAAACAGGGATCAGTGGCAGGCCCCTGTGAAAATGGTAATGAACCTTTGGGTTCTATAGCAGGTATGGAATTTCATAAGTAGATTACTATTAGATTCTGAAGGACTCAGTTGGTGTGAGTAAATGAAGATGGTTTGGCTACTTGTGCTGTTACATGTGCAGCATCCTGGAATGAATTCGGAGATCATGGGCGAGTGTATTTCTCCGTATTTCAAGAGCAAACAAATGTAAAATTATTGCTTCCAAGTAATGATTCCATAAAGCACTGTGACTTATTTTAAATAGCAAACAAAAATTAAATTGTACTATTAAGACAGAAATTATTTCTACTGTTACCACATTCCAGATATTGCTTTGATTGCAAGTTCCTCTAAATACACAGCACAATTAATTGTGAATAGAAAAGAAAGAGTTATTTATGAACAGGAAGGATTTAGGTCTATTAGTTTCAGAAGTACTGTACATAGTATACATGTAGCTTGTAAGTGGCAAATAACTGTGATTTATTATGTACTTTCAATATCAAAATTACATGTATTCTGGGAAATAAAATTTTACAACTATGCACAAGCAATCATTGTAAAATAGGGTCTGAGAAATATTTGTCTTCAGACTAATGTATGGTTGTTGTTTCATTTTAAACTGTATCAAATCTGTCTGTTTACTGTTGTAACTCACAATGCAGTTATTGTGTGTTTAATTTATGGGGCGGTGGGATATTTATGTAACTGATACAGTACTATTTTACATGTATTTCAAAGCTTAACATTCATTATAAATATTAGAAATCATATGTAAAATTTGTACAAATTCTTAAAAACACAAGGTTATATTTGTTAATTTTCAAATACAACGATGTATATGGCTTAAAATTTTGGTTAAACCAAATTAATGAAGTAGCTGAAATTTATTCCTAACCACACACAACGAAAGGATAAACAGCTTAACAAGAACACAGATTCTTAATAAACTACATAAAGGGAGGAAAAAAAAACACTGCCTGGACCTCTAAGGATGGCAATATCATCCCAATTTTCTGTTGATAGAAGAAGCATGAAGACACGAACCTTAGTGGTTTAAAATTTTATATATTAAGAACTTTAATAATTTTTAACTCAACATTTTATTTTAATTAAAATCTTTATATAAAACTTTGATTCAACTGATGTACTATGATCAATGTAATAACAGTTTCCTCAATATGTTATTTGCCTTCTGAAGATGGTCATAAATGACAGAAATATGTAAAGGCATCATATACTCGTAAATATACATTTGAGTCACACTGGACTGTGTTGTCAAATCATTCTATAATATTCAACTAGTGTGACGGACCAGAATGAATAAAGTAAAACACAATGGACCATGTAAGGGTGAGTATGTCATAGGAGGAAAGGCTGTATAAGGTACAGCCTACCTTTCTCATCCTTCAAAGATGCTCAACAGGTAACAGGTAACTCATGGATAGATTCCAGAAACCATACAGCATGCAGTGGAAACACAGGATTCTGAATGTTATGAAAATGTTATGTTTACAGGTATGTAATATTATGGGTACTGCATGAATATCTGTTTTCAAAGGAGTCCATGCTCATAAGTTCATAGTCAACTTGTGAATCCTGTACAGCTTCCATGAAGGCTCTGTCAAGTGTCTTGAAAACAAAATGCTGTGCCATTCTTTTGTATGATAATGTTCACATCTACAAGTCACATCAACTTCAGGCCACTGTCAGGAGCTCAACAATCCATCCTGCAGTCTAGATATGGTCTGACATGACTATTTAGTATCCTCTTTTGAAAATTCTACAGGGCAGCTATGAATGTAGAGAGCTGTAAACAATGTGTAATCACTCAGAACATGATGGGCCTGTGAACTGTAATGGGAGGCTAGACTCATGACACAGATTGTTACATGTTACAAAATGCAAACACCAGCCACTTCTCACTTTCACATTTAGGCAAATAATTTACACAAATGAATTGCTGATTTATTATCTGTAAATATATAATGAAATGACCCAAGACAGCTTAATCAGTTAAGAGATTGGGTAAGGACTCAATGACTTCTTTCTAGGGGGGCAGGGAATTTCTTTTATCACCACTAACAAACAGACTCTTACTCCGTGGACCCAACATGCTCTTTCAAAGGCAGTAGAGGAGATAGAGCTGGAAACACACCTTCTAACTCAGTCAAGTGCTGAGGTCTAGAATGTATGGCACTGTTACATATTTCATGACAGTGTCCAGCACAGAACTAAGTTTACCTTTATTATGTTAACCAACCACCTATGAAAGAAGTCTAGCCCAAATTAGACATTCAAATTTTAATATAGTTCATTTTCCTGATAAAATATTATATAAAATCAACATATATCATTGTGATGGTATTATATGTTGATTTTAGATATTCAAGATTAATAAGGAATTTAGAAAACTAAATATGGAACTGAAACCCCTGAGAGTTTAATTGTATTTCTTATTGATTATTCATTAAAGCACTGTTATGAAACCACTTCCCACATTTACTGTAAGAACATTTCATATAGTATTATGGCTACACAGTGCCTTACTTCACACAGAAAAATGCAAATCTTGCTATTATCCAGTACCTTTATGTTAGAGAAAGGAATTTAACTTTCCTGACATGTCCTTTAATGGGATTACAATGTGCAAATCATTTGTATCTCATGCAAACAATTGAAGTGCATGAAAATACCTGCCTTTATGGCCTATATCTTCATGTTCCAGCTTAAATGTGTGATACAAACCTGAAATATGATATTTGTATCATCCAACATAAATTTAAAACAGCAATTCTTATATTCAAGCTCTTGAGCAGTTTTCTGAGGGGTTACCCTTTTGTTCTACAAAGAATGTATCAGTATTCATCCACACCATAGAAGATATTTTTCCTGTTACTGCATTAATTTGTGGTATTCTTTTGTTTCAGTACTTTTGAAATTGGTTGTGTCCCATGATGGGTTGAGAAATGGTATTCAAATGCTAGGCCACTACCAGTAAAGTTACATGATTGCAAGGAATAAATTCAGAATACAGTAACATGCAAATTATACTTCAAATTTTCATAGATTGGATATATCGTCATCATTTCTGAGGATAACTGATTCTTGGTTCATTTAAAGATGCCATTTCAAGTGCCCAGATTAAATACCATCCACTGATAGGATCACAGCTAATGAATTAGAAAAGATGAAGAAGAAAATGGTTGAGGGCAATTTTAAGATATTATTCCACCACTCACCTCCAGAACCAAGAAAACACTCGAAAACCTCAGTCAGGATAATCAGCTGCTAGTCCAAGAGTTGAACTCAGAACATCCTGAATATGAAGTGGAAGTCCTAACCACTGTGAACTGTGAGTTCAGCACTGCAGCAGTTTAAAGCAGGGTGTCTGCAAATAAACATTCATGCAGACTACCTGAAATCCAAAAGACCTATAGTTGATTCAATCAATCAATAGTAACATTCCATCTGACTTTCATGATGAATCTTTATGTATCCTTTACCTGCAATTTTAATTCAGTTTATAGGGGTCTCTTGCAGAATAGGTACATTGATTGTGCTATGAGTGTTTGCTGCTTCAGTTTCAGGTGTACACAAGCAGATCTTAATATGACTGGCAGCATTTTTAAGGTATAAAATGGTCTCCATACATTACCCTGTACATCTGCAAATAAAAACCTTTGGTTAAAGACAGATAATACTAAGAAAAAACTATTTAACGTGCATCAACATTTGAACACCCTGAAGCTACATTTTCATCATCGCAAAAGGATTTCATCCAACTTTAAGACATGTCTTTCAAACATCAGCAAGATGTCAGCTTTTACAGAGATTAACCCTCTTCCTACCAAGGCCAGTGCTAAAAATGAAAACAGGCTTATTCTAAAGAGTCCTATCTTCTAGTATACAATGCCATGTAGTCCACTGAAAGACAACCATTTCAGAGGAACATGGTGTCTCCATCTTCAGGGTCAAGGAATACACTATGCAAGAAACAAGCATGAAACAGGTAGTAGGCCCAAAATGTCAGTTGACTTCCAGTGGACTACACCGTATTATACCCCACAAGAAAAAACTCTTCATAACACCACTGTGAGAATCTACAATCCTATAAACTTATTATAGTTATAGCATCAGAATAATCAAACGACACAGTTATGAGAATCACCTAAGAATTAATGTGAACAGTCATAACTAGGCTAATATCCACAAAATTAATTTACATATGGCCAACTCTCTTTAACTTTGTCACCTGTCTACCTTGCATCTTGCTCATTTTCTTATATTTAATACTGTGGATCAATATATTTTTTAGCCTTTCTATGTTGGTGGCCACATGTGACTTCTATTTGTATCAATCTGTAAAAATGAATATTGCTCCAACCATCTGTAGAGACCTGCTAGACACTCATTTTGCTCTTTCTTTGCAATCAGTAGACAATGAAAGTCATATTCAAGTACAGCCTATCCTTACGTTAATGATGTGGTAGCAACAGGGTTATCCATCTGGAATTTCCAAGGCATGTAAATCTCACCTTCACTGTGGAACAATGGTCCCACTTTGTGACCCACAGTTCCAGCAATCTCTGTAAAAAATTAAAGTTCTGGATTTTCCAAACAGAGTCCAGTCACATTCCTGCTCTTGTATCTGTGGTCATACCACTTCACTCTTTCTCCATGAGTCTACTTTCTGAATTGAATACTGATATGCAGAGTGTATGTTTATTAATAAAGCTGTTTGAAAAGTTCAAACTGAAAGAAGTTAAGTTAAGCACTGGGCATAAAAAAGAAGATTTGGACTTGAGAAACAAAGGTATTATACAGTAAAAAATTAGTATGTCAACGTTTACAGTTGGAAATAAGACCTTCATAGGAACAAGAACATGATCCTGAAGACTTGGGAGAACAATGAACAACAAAATAACTGAAAATTGCATAAAGAAAATCAATCTGTTGGGTTGTCATTAAGACAGTAATAAGCCAGGAAAAAATCAGTCAATGTAAATGAAAAATTCTGAAGTTGGTGAGTCTTTGTTTTGACAATTTATAAAAAAAAAAACCTTTATAGCTGATTCTCACCTTATGAATGGGTAATGGTCCAAAGCCTCATTTGTACTAGTCGTTCTCGTTGAGAATCTAGTAATGTAAAAATGTTCAAGTTGGTAATAGTGATCTATATTCATTTGTTTTTGTTTTGTATTATAATAGAAAGTTTCTTCTCATCCAATATGACTGTTAAGTGATACGTAAGCACAACACAAAGAAAATCAACAGTTCTTAGGTCAAAGTCCCACAAGAACTAGTTAACTTAACTGTAAATGAATACAAAAGCTTATGAACAAAGCACATTTAACTTCTAATATTGCATGGTATGCCATTTTTCAGTCAACTGTTTGTATGTGAAGGACCAAGTGCACTAAAAATTAATTAAAAGGTGAATTCTCTTGTTAAAAAAGTTACCATACTGTATTATGTACTTTAAAATGATCATTAAAATTTGTAAGTATAAATATCTCTCATACTACTTCAGATCCATGGACCTCATATTAAACTTGTAATATGTCCAGTAGTCACAGCATCACAAACAAAATGAACGGCTTCAACACACGAATTCAGTATGTAGTCACTACAGACACAAAAAATGGGACAAATTTAACATTATTTTCTGTATGCTGGACATACTTTAGTGGAGCCATAGACAGAAAACATAGATGGGTTTCACTGCAGTAGTAAAAGATAAAGTAATTCATTAATTTACACTCTATATTATCACCAAATATAAAACATTTGTTTCTGACAGCTGAATGTGGAGTTGCTGTAGAAAAGAAGACAAATGCCACTGACTACAAGACTCTTGACAAAGTTCTCTGAGAGAAATCCTTCAGAAACAAAGTAATAATTCATCCTACAGCACGTAAGTCCACATATGCTAAAGTTGAACCAGCCCTTAAACCAGGGTGTCTTACACCTTGTGCAGGCAACCTTATGAAGGATATTTCCTGTGTAAGAACTCCAGATTTTCCCACTTGTGCATAAAAAATGGTATTCTGAAAATATAATCTAGTAACTTTCTAACCATGATGCTATGGCCAACATCACTGACTGTCTATGATGCACCTTCATTTCCCACAATACATTGAGTTTACCTAAGTATTCCCTTTCTTCATGATTTCTGCAATGCCTGAAACCCAAAAACCCTAAACATAATAATCTGCAACATCTTGATCTTCAAACATCCCTTGATTTCAAAGAATTTATATATATTGTAACATGTTGCGCAACGGAGAACCCCTCCCTACCCAGCAGCAACGTGGCAACTCAGGCCACAGGCGCGTGGCGGTAACGTAGCGCTCCCTCCCTCCCTCCCCTCCGCGGTGACGTAACGCGCAACGCTACGTACCCGTAATCAACTTCCTACTGTGACGTGGCCCGCAACAAGCACCACTGCAGATATATAAGGGAACTGCACAGCAGCTACCAGTTAGTTGTAACCTGGCCATCGCCGAAGACAGTTCCGAGTTGAAACATAGCAGCCTGCGAGTGTGCGATAACTAAGAAGTCAGCGAGCGGAAGACTTATTGTGTGCTTTCCAGACATAGTGAGTGCTGTAGTACAGTTATACTCGGAGTGTGTATTTCAGGGAGACTTGTATAGCTCCCGCGTTATTAATACTTGAAGTCTCTCGAAGACAGTGTTAAGAGATTTTGTTGTAGGGTTTGTAAACCGTGGAAACCCATAACATTGTTATAATTAACTGTAGCCGATAGTCGTAGATTGTTGAATAAACCAGTTAAAAATCTCTACGGCCTATTCAGTAACGAAACACATTACAATATTAATGGTTATATGAAACATGGGCCCCAGCAGGTTTTGTTTCATAACTACAAATTCAGTCCCAATGAACAGAAACCTGCCGGATTATATAGGTTACATAAGAACAGGCATGCTAGTTTGTAAAAACTATGTATCACACAAAGCCCTCTAAGCTAAAGATGCAAGTCAAGAAGTGTATGAAATAAAATATTTTGCATGGTAGTGCAGTCTCTGAAAATATGTTTACAAAGCACATGGAAAAGACAACCAGATGGCAAGCACTAGCCATATCAGATCATGACATTACTTGTATAGTCAGCTTAACTGGTTCACGAACAGCAAATGTATTAAGCAGGTGAATCCTGTAACATGTTTTTTCTTCAGTTCTCAATTTAAAATTGGTAGCAATTTGAAAGAAAAATGTACGAAGGGGGACCCAAAAATAACCGGAAACGACCTGTTGGGTGCGCATGCTTTGTAGTTACGAGTTGTGCTGCTAGGTGGTGTTAGCTGGGGGTCTCCTGCAACTGTTAGTGAGCTGGCGTCAGTCTGAGTTAAGTGGTTTGTCTGTGGTGCTCTGTTGTGTGCGTTCCTGTTTCAACCTTTTGGCGATTAGTGGGATGGCTGACCAGATGGAACAAAGAGTGTGCATGAAATTTTGCTTTCTGTTAGGGAAAACTGCACTTCACTCTTCAAGTCGCGGCAAACATTCACACGGTTTTCTCTTTGGTCATCTCCGAGCAAGCGAGGAACAAATTTTGCAGACACCTGTCTCATGTGCAAACCTTCGGTTAAAATTCTCTGGACCGTGCTCCATGAGATCTTCGTTTCCTCAGAAAGTTGATCAATGGTCTTTCGACGATCTTCATCAAGCAAAATTTCACGCACACTCTTTGTTCCTTCTGGTCGGCCATCTCACTAATTGCCTAAGGGTTGAAACAGGAACGAACACAACAGAGCACCACAAACCACTTAACTCAGACTGACGCCAGCTCACTAACAGTCGCGGGAGACCCACAGCTAACATCACCTAGCAGCACAACTCGTAACTACAAAGCATGCGCGGGCAACAGGTCGTTTCCGGTTATTTTTGGGTCCCCCCTTGTATACAATAATGTGTTACATCTACTATTACACTCACCAATTGGTATTGTTTAAAAATCACTGTTTTCTAACACAGTAAATCATCAAAGAAATTGTCATAAATACAAACCACATTCAATTCTGACAAATTCCACATTAAGTTCGGGCAAACAAATGCCGGTTGGTCAAAGAATTGGATTCTCTGTACTACTCGAATATGCAGAACAGGTATAGCCTGTATTTGAGGGAAGTATACATATTTGAATAGTAGATTACATATAAAATATAATTTCAGTTAAAAAACAAACATACTTGTGCACAAACACAAATACATCGTCTAAAACATATCTGAAGGAGCATTATCTGATAGGGATGTAGATCATTATACTGTAATCAGAGAAAACTTACTAAATTGTGTTTTCAACATATACAATAGGAACCAAAATCACCACACCACAGCTCTCATTGAACACAAAGGATTCTCCTTCCAATAGGTTGCCTACTAAAAGTATGACATACCCTTACAGATATTTTAGACAAAGAATATGTACTATACATTCTGAGTTTTCAAGTGAGAAAATGAGACTACACATATCCAATTTAAGTTGTCCACTCCACTACTTAGCTACATAAACAATGATGGCTGTTTGTTCACAGTGATACAACCAATATGTGAAAGCAATGAACTTCATCAGTGAGCTGGGATAGTGCAGTTGGTACAGCAACTAACTACGGGCTAGATGACACAGGAGTTGGAGTGCGAGTCCAGGTAAGGCCAAGAATTTTTTCATTTACAAGTCATCCACACCAGTTCTGGAGCCCACCCAGCTTCCTATCTAACGGTTATGGGGTGGGTGGGGGTGGGGAGCTCCTTCCTTGGGAGTAAAGTGGCCGTGAAGTGAAGCTGACCACTCAACTCCAACTACTGCCAAGGTCAAGAAAATGTGGATCACTACATCCACTCATCCATACGTCTTCATGGCGCAGTGCTTAATTAGTTAAGCACAGGGAAAACTTTACCATACTGTAATGAACTTCATCAAGTATATAATATCATCAGCAAAATCTAGCTAATTTCCATGCTACTGTAACGTGTTTCGTTCCTGAAGACACCGTAGAGATTCTTAATTGGTTTATTTAACAACCTACAAGTATCGGCTACAATTAATTATAACACAGTTGCGGGGTTTCACACTTTATAACCCTATTTGCAATAATCTGTTTACACCGTTGTGGGGATTCACAATTCATAACCCTATTCGCAAATCAAATCACTCTATTGTCAGTAGTCTACACGTATTCAGTATGGGAGCTTTGTAAGTGTCCCTGTATCACACACACTCCCAATTATATAACTACACACACGTCCAGTTCTTCTTTCCACGAACGCTGCTATACTCCAACTGTACGCTGCTGATACACTTTAACTGTCTCCGGGGAAGGCTACACGTTAACTCTTTCCGGCGGCTGTTCAGTTCCTTTATATAGCCGCAGTGCTTGGCTGTTACGTAATGAGTGCCTTGTCACAGTAGGAACCGGTGCCACATCGCCGTGTTACCTGCGTCACAGCTGCGTTGCGCGTTACGTCACCGTGCGGAGGGGGGTGATAGAGCGCTGGCTCACCTGCCACATCACTGCTTGGGGGGGGGGGCCCTCCATTGCGCAACATGTCACACTATATAAAAAGTAACTATTTCAATCCCCAGATACAGGAATTCAAATGCTTATTTCACAGAAATTCTGTAGTTACATACAATGCCGACAAAACTGCTTGTAAACAAAACTGGCAAACAGCATTTGTAGTAGTAGAGACTTGTGTGCAGCACATACAAGGACACAGATTTATTAACAGCGACAATATAATGAAATCCATTCCCATATACTGTGTCCTTGGGACATAAAGAATTTCAACATTATATTGTCGGGGAAAAAAAAAAAAAATGGATGGTTACTGATATGGGATCGCTTAAACTGAATCTAAAATTAAGGAAAACATTTAGCTGGTTAACCTTATACAGGTGTTTCACTGAATATGAAATGATTTACATGATATGAGGTCAAGTTATCACATGGAAATAGAAGCATGTAAAACCTAAATACAGTAAGAGGTAAGCAGCAATGATCCAGAATCTTCTGTTGGCAAAATGTCGGCATTAACACAGACAATGATGACCTCACACTTGCCTGCACTGGTCAAAAAGTGTCTGCTGGATACAGCTTGGAAATAGCTTAATTTGGTT